TTATGGCAAAAATGAGAAAGTAATCAATGCATCTCTATATTGTGCTGTGATCCTTTTGTATTTTTGTGTCTGGTTCTGTAAGTAAATAATTTAAGAGAGGTGAAATTTGGAAGTACCTGTGACAGAGCGAGACAGCCCCATACTGAACTCAGAGGGTTTAGCCAGGGTAACCTGGCTAAAGAAGCCCTTCCCCCGCAGCCCTGCCAGACATGCTCAGACTGCAGCCCCGCTATAAAAGCCTGGGGAAAGGCTCAGTCTGGGCTGACTGACAGAGGGGAATGAACTAGGAAGGGAGCTCCTGACCCGCATCAGCAAGCGGCCGCAGGAGAAGCCAGTGAAGACGCCGGGGACAATTGGGACGTCTCCACGGCTGCCTACAGAGGAGAAGCTGCCCCCGGGAATGTGAAGGACCCCACGAGCTTGTGAAAAGGCACCCCATCAGACCGGGTAGGAAGTGGCCCAAGGAGGTTGCAGGAGCAGCCTCTCTTGCCCCGGGAACCTTGGCGCATTTCAGTTGGATTTCCCGCCGAGGGAGTGGCGAGCCGTCCTGCCGCTCACTGGGCCCTAGGCTGGGACCCGGTGGAGTAGGGTGGGCCCAAATCCCTTACCAGGGGTGCAGCCCCACCCCGACCAGTGACAACGCGTTGGTGTGATTTGTGTCAGTGGGCCCAGCCTTAAAGGGCCTCCCAGTGGCTTTGCATAGAGGCTTGGGCCAGTGGGTCCTGTGTTAACCTGACTTTATATACAGAGATTCAGGGTCCAACTCCTGCCCTCTGGAGAGGGCAGGAAAAGCAGCCCCATGACAATACGCAAGACAAATCAGACTCCTGAAAGAGATACAGTCACCTGGAAATGTTGAGAGCTACTGTTCTAAACCTTTCTTCATTTGTGTTACAGTCCTGTGAACTTTCTCCAACTTGTCCACATCTTTCACAAAGCGTGGTGTTCAGAACTAGACAGCGACTCCATTTGAGTAAAGTGGAAGACTTATTTCTTGCATCTTGCTTACAACGCTCCTGCTAATACATCCCAGAAGTAAGTTTCTCTTTTTTTGCAACAGTATTATATTATTGACTCACATTTAGGTTGTGAGCCTGTGTGTAGCCCCAAAAGCCTTCTCTGCAGTGCTGTCAGGAATCAGCAGAACTAGCCTCCAGGCAGCCTCATCAGTTCAGCTGGTCTGTGACAGGATGCAAGATTAGCCACCGGACCTGACTGGCTACAGAGGGCAGCAGGCTGGCATTTAAGCCAGCAGCAGTGGCTCTCAGCTCCCGCCTCTGCTAACTCGTTGCTTGGGAGCTGCAGAGGAGGCACGAGCCCTTTCAACTGCCACTATTTAAAGGCCCCATCCCTTCTGCCCAAAGCCACGCCCCTTCTGGGGCAAACCACAATCACTCTGAAAATTTTTGAAGTGGCCCCTCCCTTCAGAAATTATTGCCCCCTCTGCTCTTGTGGCAACTTATAACCAGCCTCTCCAGACCATATTAGCACCTAAAATGACAGCAGGTGGCGCCACACACTCAACTGAGTCATCTGGGGGCTTTGCCTAAGCTACTAACAATGGTGACCCTGGCCAATTTCCCTTTTCCCCAGCCTTACACCCACACTGGTGTATAAAACCAGAATTATGCCATCTTGCAGAAAGGTTTGCACAATGCAACTTCGTTAATATAGGTCACTCGCCCTTTGATGTGGGGAAGATATGCGCCGATATGTGTTAATGGAGCTAAGATTCCCTTCCACTTCCCTCAAAAACACACTGGTGAAGATAAAACATAGAACAAGTTTATTGGCTACAGAAATATAGATTTAAAGTGATTACAATTTGTAACAAACAGATAAAAGCAGAAAGAAATCAAGCAAAACAAAACTTAAGTCTTATACGTCAAAAAGGGTTTGAATGAGGAACATTTCACCTTGACAGATGATACAAGCAGGCTTGCAGATTCTTGAGGCAGGGGCTACATCTATCTGTTTTGTAGCTTGGGTTTCCTCTGCCCCCATTCAAAGTCCCTTGTCCTCTAGCAGTTCTTTCAAGTGTTGAGTGTGGGGTTTTTCTTAGAGGGAGAGAGTTGGAAGACCGAAAGAAGGTACTCCATCTCTTAAATAGTTTCTCCATATGGTAGAAACCTTTGTTTCAAGCCAGATTCCTAGCCCAGTTTGTAGAAATGTCCAGGTACCAAAGTGAAGTTCAGTAGCGTGTGGTTGGTCACATGCCTTGCTGAGCCATAGCAGCCATTATTATAGACTGAAGCTTTCCCAGGTGAGGACAAGCTGTTTTTATGGTCCACTGTCTTTGACAATTAGCCATTAGCCCTGTCTAGCTTCCTCATTGTTGAACCTGAACAGCTAGTTGTGGGTGTTTTCAACATCACAACATCTTTCAATAAGATGCACACAGCAAAACTTCATCACTTTTTATACAATGACAGTATACCCAATCCAATGGGATATTAATGTTCAACAGATCGAGATGTTTAGAATGATATGTTACAAGTCATATATTGTACAAATCATATCATAATTACATCACCATGGTAAACATGGATTGCTCTGGTGTGCAGAATGTCACCCCATGTTTCTAAAACTACTCCTTTTGAAGAGAACTGTTTGCAAAGGTGTGTGATGTGGTGCTCATCACGCACAGGTGATGGAAATGGTTGATGTGTGCCTGGAATGCCAATAGGCACAGGTGGTAGCACTTAGAAGGTGAATCAGGACCAACTAAAGAGGAGACCCAGTTGATGGAGGATGTGGGCGGTTTCTATAAAGGGAGGAAGCATAGAATAGAAAAAGGACTGAAAGGACAAAGGCCCACCTTTGGATCAGGACCACGCCCCCCCATTTGAGAAACACTGGTCTCCCCTGTGAAACCTGTAGGCTGTGTCTAGACTGGCAAGTTTTTCCGCAAAATCATCTGATTTTGCGGAAAAACTTGCCAGCTGTCTACACTGGCCGCTTGAATTTCCGGAAAAGCACTGATGATATCGTGTAAAATCATCAGTGCTTTTCCGGAAATACTATGCTGCTCCCGTTCGGGCAAAAGTCTTTTTCCGAAAGACTTTTGCGCAAAAGGGCCGCTGTAGACAGCATAGTACTGTTTTCCGCAAAAAAAAACCCGATCGCGAAAATGGCGATTGGGGCTTTTTTGTGGAAAACCGCATCTAGATTGGCCACGGACGCTTTTCCGCAAAAAGTGCTTTTGTGGAAAAGCATCCTGCCAATCTAGACGCGATTTTTCCGAAAATGCTTTTAACAGAAAACTTTTCCATTAAAAGCATTTCTGGAAAATCATGCCAGTGTAGATGTAGCCATAGAGTAGAGGGCATTCAGGAGGCATTTTATACACTGGGCCTGATGGAAGAAGGAGCAGGGGTGAAGAAGAATACTCTTGAAATGGGCCTAAGAGAAGACTACCAGGAGAAGTCCATGGGAGGGCCTGGAGTTGAGGATCCAAACAAAGCAGGACTTGAGGTTAGACCCTGAAAGTCAGCAGTCTGTAGAAAAATGGACAGCTGGAGGTGAGGGATGTGTGGGGACAGAGGATCTTACCTTAACACTTAGATGTGTTGATAGTGAAAACAAGAACATGTTTAGTAGCAAAGGCAAGAGAGTCAAATAATAGCAAACAAGAATATTGGAATCAAATGGTTACACATGAAGCATAATGGCGCTCTTCCTGCAAACTAAGAGGCTAACCTCTGGCTAAAGAAGCTTCTCACCTAAAGTTCTCTCCGGTGTCTTCATGTCAGCCTGTCTGAGATACTTCTTGCATGAATAAACCTGCTCTCCATTTGCTTCCTCGGTGAGGGATGTGTGGGTATCTTCTTTGCCACTCAAACATAGTAGCTCAGACCTTTGAAGGGCACCTCAGGATAAGGTTCTCTCTCCCGTCTCCTTTCTTTCTATCAGTTCCTTTCTGATGTTCTCACAAACCTTCATTTACATTCAGTTCATACTGGTGCTAGGGAGACCCATTTGTGAATGAGACAATGCTCAAGTGACATGTAAGTAAACTGATGGATAAACATCTCTTATCTGACAAAAAAAAACCTATTTTTTTTACCTTTGCTAGTGACCAACCACCAGACACAGATGTGAAGAGCATATGTTCAGTATAGATACACAACTAACAGAGTATCCTCGCATACGTTTCACAACAATATTGATGTCAAGGGCAACCCTGACTCCGATTTCAGATCTTGCATAACATTCCAATGGAAAACCACAATCTGGATAATTCTGGGGTCCTCTGCACTCTCTGCCAGCTGGCATTAAAAGGTTTTTAGGTCACAGCAGTACTGTTAATTTTCATCACAGGTATCAGGAAGTACTAAATTTCCACAGGATCCCCACCTCACACCCTGTCTGTAGGAATCTGTATCTGTGTACAGAGTTAACTATATTCAAGTACTAAAAGGTCAGGCTCTGGTTTCCAACTCTCCCTTCTCCCTCTGCTCCACATCCTGTTGAGTAGTGCCTTCCTCCATGGCAGTCCTTCTCGTTCCAGAAGGAGTCCTTATGAAGTCAGCACAACTCTCTCTAAGTACAGGTGGCAAAAGGGCAATAACAATAACTGGGAACAATGAGCTTGATTCTTCGTCACTATGTTGCTGCAACTCTGGGCCAGGTTCTCCACTGCAAGACTTTGGTCAATGTTTGTGTCAATACTCATTCAGTTCATGATTAAGAAAAGCCGTAGCTCTGTAGTTCACTGCCAATTATCAAAGCTTTGGTTCAAGAAGGATCCCACTGAGCTGGGACTTAGCAGACCTCCCTTCATCAGCTGCTGAGAGAGTGGGATATTTTTAACTAGGAACCAAAAGCAACCTTGTGTGGGAGGGAAACAGCAGAGAAGTAAGATTGCAGTTCTAGTGTCACAGTCCTGCAATGAATACTGACCATATTTTCACCCATTATATGGAATCACTAGGCTAGATATAGTGGAAAGAAAAGAGAATAAATGCTTGTTTTATTTTTCATATAATAGTTCTGTGGCTGGGCTCTCTCATGTCATTTACAGGTTTTCCTTTAAGGGAGGGAAGAGACTCTACCATAGAAGAGAATGCATTTGGTTTTCTGGTGTCTGATAAAGAAGAGGAAAGGATGATCAGCCACAAAAGTTACAAGTGTACTTATTGAGGTTACGCCTACACTAATTCCAGTTGCAGCTGCTGCCTCAGTGCCCTGTTCATTGACATCTATATAAGCCTTATGGACAACTTGACTCACAGACAGGTCACCTTGTTGTGCCATTCCAGATAAATCCGCTTCATTCGGACGAAACACATCGGTCATTCCTAATGCCTCTAAGTATTTATTGAGCAGAGCATCTCTCTCAATTTTGAACTTAGGGAGAGACACCTTTACTTCAGCTTTTTCCATATGATCCGGGCTGATCCAACTTGTTAATTTCTCGTAGGTAAGTTTCATTTCCAGCTACAAGTATAAAGATACATGGACATCAGAATCTTGTGATTATGCATCAAAAAACAACTGAACTATGTGCAGGGCCAGCTCTAGGTTTTTTGCCGCCCCAAGCAAAAAAAATTTTGGCCGCCCCCCCCCCCCCCCCTTTTTTTTCCGGGGGGGGGCGGGACACGGGCACTGCGAACACCAGAGTTCCCCTTCCTTAGACAAAGGGAGAGGGAGAATCACCTGGGTTCCAGGCAGGGGTGAGGTTGTCAGGACACAGCACAAGGGGGCTGGGTTCCTGGGCAGGTGGGGGAGGGGGGGTACAGGGCCCAGAGAGCAGGGGGAAGTGGGATTGTTTAGAGAGTTGGAGAGGAAATGGGGCTCCAGGTAGGAGGCGGGCGGAGGAGGGAGAAGAGGAGACAGGGTCCCAGCAGGGTTGCAGTGGGTTGCTGGGCAGAGGCCGAGCCGGGGAGGAGAAGAGAGGGGGGAGGTAGCAGGGGGGTGGTAGCGGGCGGGGGGGCTCGCAGGATAGTGGGCTGGGGCACACAGGCCAGGGGGGAGGGGTGCGGACAGCCGGTGAAGTAGAATTTCTGTACCACACGTTCAGGTTCTGGTTATAAGGTTATCTTGTCATCATAGCCATAGGTAACTTTACCTCTGTTAGACCCATGTGGTCTTTTGGCAGCAGTATATACATACTCAGCTCTGCATCCTTGTATGGGAGTTCAAGCACCTGGCAATCATACTCCTCTATTGTAGCTATATTGTACTTGCCTCTGCCGTTCATCATCTGCACAGGTTTGCTTGTGGTCTGAGAGCAATGACAACAAGTAACATGAGACACTGTCAACACATCCTATTGTATTATAACATTGTTCGTTGTATTATATCGGCCCTTGGACCCAAATGTTGAAGTGGCTGTTCAGGGCCAGATAAACACCTTCCAAAGAAAACTATATACAGTCTCCAAACACTCCATAACAGGTTTTTTCTCCAGATCTGTGTCAAGGGAAATAGGCCAATGTGAAGTACGGGGGGAGAAGGCAAGTGGGAAATCCCCAAAAGCCCATCCCCAGGATGCAAGATTCCAGCATGCTGCTTCTCCTCTGACCCTTGAAAGCGGAGATATTACTGATTATTTCCTTGCATCTGCACTCAGGCAAACCCATCATAAGACACAAGGTTCAGAAGAGTTAATGCTACTTCCTTGGACCAACAATTTCAGAAGTTGCCACTGGTACTGAGGGCCTCAGGGTTTGGCTGCCCAACTTGAGCACCATGCTAAGGGCATTAAAACTACAGCCTCTCTTTCACCTTTCATTTAATTTACACATCAGTGTAATAGCATCTTCTCAGGTCCAATTAACCCAGAGATTTACAAAACCTACAAGCAATAGACATGTACAAAACCATGCAATGGAATCAAGTTCCACTGGAAACAATTTTCCTTTCCCTAAACAAATGTGCCCCTTGCAGCATTACCAACCTATTGTTGCTACACTGTGTTAACGTGTGACCTTCTAATGGTGAAAGATGGTGAAATTGAACTGAGGCGTATACAAAGCTGGTTATGTTACATTTATTGCCCACACCACACAGGTGGGATATCACAGGGGCAAGATACAGAATGTCACCTGAAAACCCTCCATTTCAATAGTCAGCTGTTATCAGAAAAATGAGGCGAGAAATCAGTCTGGTGAGAGAATCTGATAACAGAATGTGGAAACTGAACACAGGTTAAATGGATATTTCTCTGTCTCTCTCTGGTAAGCCTGACAGCAGAACAACTCATTTTAGGTCTGAATACAAAGCAAACCAGGTAAGGGATCCAAATTAGATAAGCAGTGGGGGAAGGTACAAAAGTATCCTTATCATAAGCCTTGTTCAGCCTTTGCTCACATGAGTGCAAAACTACACAAGGGTAGTGAATCCAACTGCACCTGCAACCCCATGGGAGAAAGCAGAGCTATATCCTCACCACTTCCACTCTTGCCAGAGAGCTGACAGGCCATAGAGGGAGGCAATTGCTGAAGCTTTTCATATACCGTCTTCCGCTGTGAGCCATGTTGCTTTGTGAGGCATTGTACCTGTCTCAGGCATGATGCACTTTACTAGTAGAAGCTTTGGGAAGCAGCTTCCTCACCAACCCCACAGCTGGTCCCTTTGCCATAATGGAGCTCTAGATTTAAGAGGCCATGTGCCCCAGTATCTCTTCATGTGCAGTATCTGCCAAGCATGTGTAGTAACAGGAACAATGATGTGATACATATAGTTCGGTAATCTACCTCGTTAATGTGAAAAGGTGTTTCTTTGGTGTTTTCTTTCTTAAATTCTTCTGCCCATTGTCCTTTGAAGTACACGGCATTCACGAGGACTAACTTAGTATCACCAGAAAGTGAACCCCGGCCAAAGAGGTCCTTGATTTTACCTTAAACAAATGGAGACAAAATAGTTTGTTTTTGCAGATCATGGATCTAGTGTCAGTTCTCTGTTGTAATAACATTCATGTATAGGGCATGTCTGTACCTGAGCATAAGACTATACACAGGATACTGAGCACTCATGACAGATATTAAGTCCTCTATCTACTCACAGAGCAAGTGCAACACCAGTAGCATTACTGTATCTTCCCCATACTGACTCACTATAATTTGCCTCAAGTGTAGAATGGAGACTAGATGTCATCTCCCAAAATGGACATTTTATTTTTTGCTTTTCCTGAATTGTCTTGACTGGAGGTCAAATTTTAAGGAGGGTGTAGTCAGTTACCTTATCTGCATAGGAGATGAAAACTTGAGGTACTTTTTGAAGGTCCCCCCTCCTTGCCCCCGTGCCTCTTGCATCTGATTGGATAAGTTTTAAAATGCCATGATCTCATCCGGCACCCACTGAAGTTGTCAGAAAAATTCCTGCTTGTTTCTGTGGGTGTTGCACTGGGTCCAGAGTTTGCTGGCTACTTTGTTCTCCTCAAACATGTTTTTTTCCTGTGTGAATTCTTGATCCAGTTTGAGGTCATTCACATGGTCAAAACGTGGAGAACTGCCACTGCAGCTCCATACTGGGCGTGCTCCAACTTTGGGGGAACATTTTTCTCCTCCAGGTTTTAAACATCTTGTACATTTTAAACTCCTCACTGTTTTTCATTTACTATCGAGAAATAACAACCAATAGCTGACTTGTCCTTACCCTTTGTAAAGGTTTCAACCCACTCATTTATCTGATTTCTGATTTCCTCTGCAGCATGCTGAAAATCAACTGGTTTCAATTCTGCCTGATATAACTCTTGAATGCAGGATAGGTATTGCTGCACAATAAGAAATTGTTAGAATAACACCTTAGAAAACAGATCTCTTTTTTAAAACTGTGCACTACACAAATTAAAATGTGCTTATTTTTAATTTCTGCAACACCTCAAATGTATTTGTACATCCTAGAGACAGTGTGGGGATGAACAAAATGAATTGGACCAGGTAGGTGGAGGTAAGGATTCAGAGCCACAGATCTTTGAACAGTTTACATAAAACAGTCAAATAGTGGACCTATTTGAGGTTCCAGCATCTGATAAATGACTCTGATACAGTCTCAGAGAGAAGTATTTAATCTTTGTGTCTGTTTCCCCTCTGTGAAATAAGGATAATAATACTGCTTTTCTCCTGCCCCTATTTCTGTAGTATTTATATTGTAAATTTTGGGCAGGGACTGTTTTTTGCTATGTTTCTCTACAACATTCTATCACAACCGGGCCTTGACATTGGTTGGAGCCTTTAGGTTCCACTGTTGTGCAAACAGTGAATTCTCATTATATTTAGAGTAGTTTTTCTGTGGGGAGGCTGGTTTCCTGTCTGTTTTTACATGCAATTTTGTTACGTACGTCTCAGTTATGTAAATCTCATTTACTGTTTACTTTTAGATGCAATAAACACGTATATCCCTCTAACAAACCAGCCCTCTGAGGAGGCATTTATAGAACGTCAGCTTCTAGTTCAGGGATGGGCAAAATATGATCTGTGGGCTGCATTTGGCTCACCAAATTGTTGGATGTGGCCCAAAAAAGCATCAGCTGGCTCCCTGCCTGCCCCACTTCTGCACAAAACTCAGGTAAGCCAGCTGCAGGGCCGTGTGTGTATATGTTTCTGAATGTTGAGAGCCCCTAGAGCAGGGGTCTCCAAACTACGGCCCGGGGGCCGGATGCGGCCCGCGAGGCCCTCTCATCCGGCCCGTGGAGACCTTTTTGGATTCAAAGGCAGAAGAAGTGAGATTGTTTCAAAACCCATTTGAAGCAGATGTGGCCAGTTGCCCAGATGAACTGCAGCTGGAAGTCATTGAGTTGCAAGCAAATGACCTCCTTAGGGACAAGTTCAAAATAGGACTGGTGGGTTTTTACCAGTTTTTGCCCAAGGAAGACTTTCCTAATGTCAAAACTTTTGCATCAAGGTACCTTTCAATCTTTGGAACAACATACCTGTGTGAACAAACATTTTCAAGAATGAAATACGTGAAGAACAATTTGAGAACAAACTTGTCCGATGATAATCTCAGGTCACTGTTGATGTTAGGGACAACAAATCTAAAGCCAGAAATGTCTATTTTGGCATCCAGGAAACAATTTCACCAGTCACACTAATACAGGTGTTCATGTGTAGTGTATCAATGTGTTATTAAATAATAACTGAATAAAATAATATTAAATAAATAATTAAAAACAACATCCATGTTTTGATTGTTTTTTATTTGGACCTCAAGTGTGTAGTCGGCCCCCGAACTGCTGTTTGATAGTTAATGCGGCCCTCGGGCTGAAAAGTTTGGAGACCCCTGCCCTAGAGGAAGGAGAGACAGGCTTCTCATGCTGCCCCTGCCCCCTGTACCTCACATTGGCTGGTTTCGGCCAATAGGAGCTGCCTGTTTGCAGGACAGGCTGCACGTGAAATGCTCTTCCTCCCTCATCCCCTGGGCTTACAGCATTCAGTTCAGAATGGTAAACAGGGCCCCTGCAGCTCCCCTGAGCAGTACAGGGGCTGGAAGGCAGGGATCCTGGCTACGGAACCAGTAGGGCTGCTGGCTGTGAGTCAGGTAAGGTCTCCCAGCCAGAGCCTGTCTCTGGAACCCCAGCTTCTACCTCTTACTCTCTGCCCCTATTCTGCTCTCCTACCACATGTAACCCAAACCTTCTACACCCCTGCTCCAGCCCCCATACACCTTTTCTGATACTGTGTCCCCTCCTCAGGTCCCCCCCTCGCTCAGACCTTGCACCCCAAACTGCAATGCGTGTTCACAGCACATATCCATGCACCCCCTGTTCTAGTTATGCAAAGGAAGGTGGATCTAGGCTACTCTTAAATAACCAGAATATCTGATTTCCACAGATCTTCCCTTGATCCTTCTATGCCTGTTCATGCCCTAAAGGGCTGAGGAACCATTTTTAGTCCATTTCCTATATGTCTCTGATGCTTCTGTTCTGTCTAACCTAGTGTATTAGTGACTGTACCTTTGTATATATACATGAAAGTCTTTGAAGCAGTGCCCCTGAGTGTTTCTTTTTTCCCAGCAGCCAAGAAAACTAAAGGTGACTGAAGCTGTACAGCCACACAAAGCAGATTTTGAAAACTAATTTGTGAGCACTTTTTGGTCCTATGAAAGTTCCAACAAATCATATGTTGAGTCCTGGAAAATAAGCTTAAATGAATTGAATAAAAACTAGACTGTAGCTAACAATTCTAGCTCACTCTCTTATTACTGTGTTGCATCTAGAGTGCTAATAAAAGTAAAAAGCATTAAAATCTTAATTTTATCTGTCAAATAAGCAGCTGAAACACTGAATATATATCTGGGTAATGTGATCTCACAGTTAAACAGTTACCTTTTGAGTATAGCAACCCTCTAAACTTTATTTTTCTGCTGATGTACTGAAATATTTATCTAAGTAATAGTTACAAAACTGAAGACAAACCTGGGTGGTAATAGCATGCTGTGTGAAACATTTTTTAGTACAATATTAACATAACATTGTCTCTTTCTTACATTTTGGTACAGTATCTAGCTCGGTGAGACCTTGGCTTCTAGGCACTATCAAAATACAAACAGTATTAGTAAACACTTAGAAATGTTGTTTTCAGTGCCTTCAACACAACTAACTACACCTAGGTTTCAGTGCTCTATGGCCAGGGAGGAAATGAGCGTAGCCTGTTACCAAAGGCTTTAGACTGAAGCCTTAAACATTCCCTTCTGGAACTAGTCGGATTTATTTTAAGATGATCGGCTGTTTTGTCCCACAATTCGGTACCTACATGGGATCAGCTCCACCACTTCCACAAGTGGACACAAGTCCCATCCGAATCAGCAGGAAATAGGACTTCACCTGAACTAAGCCCATATTCATCTCTCTTGGTCCTACAGTCTCTTAGGCCATTAACCCTAGAGCACTTACCTGAAGAAATTGGAATGTCTTTTCTCCATACAGTCTGTTGGCAACAGCCAGTTCATAAGAAAGGGTGGGCTTGTTGATTTCTGAGAAGATGTCATGGAACTGGGAATGAATCCCTCCAGGCGTGTCACACTGATTGCCAGGCCCATATTCATCTCTCTTGGTCCTACAGTCTCTTAGGCCATTAACCCTAGAGCACTTACCTGAAGAAATTGGAATGTCTTTTCTCCATACAGTCTGTTGGCAACAGCCAGTTCATAAGAAAGGGTGGGCTTGTTGATTTCTGAGAAGATGTCATGGAACTGGGAATGAATCCCTCCAGGCGTGTCACACTGATTGCCAGGATCCTTCAAGTAACACAGAAACTGTTGTAGTTTATTTCTGAGTGAAAACAACTGAGCATAATGGAGAAATTGGTTTCGTTTTGTTTTTATAATTGTTTTTCTATGAAACCATTTTATTCAATGACTAACTAGCTTTGCCTTCTCTGATTTGTTCTTGTTCATGATTGTCTGGAAAGGCTCTTTTGGTACGTTCCACTCGTTACTTGTGGAGCACTGCACGCGGTAATTTGTTGAACAATGAAAAATGTACAAGGTAGTGCAAATGCTTTTGTTGTCCGATGTATCCATGCACATGCCCTTACAATCATGGTAGGAGCTCATTGTAATAACAAGATGCAAACTGAACTGGTCACTTGTGAATGCACTGACGATATCAAGCATATACTTGTACATTTTCAATTTAAAAAAACCTTAACCCTTAGTCTTTGCTATTTTGCATATATTTTATCCTTGTCCCTTTACCTTCTGTTACCCACCATCATAACATTTCCCTTCCCTATTTTTATTTTAATCTGCCAGTTTTGAATTTTCATTCAAATTCCCCAAAGTTTGTCTGCTCCAACCCTTGTTCTAAAATACCGACAAATGGCGGAGTTAGACCGTGACTGCTCTCTGAATTGTCAGAACTTCTTGTTGCTTCAGAAGAACTTACTGTTCCTGGATTTTCATTTTCAGTGAAGTGAAGAACCTGAGGTAGAAAGGTAACATTGCAACAGTCATATACTATATTCATTTACTTAAGACAATGTGTGAAACTGAGCATGTCACAGAAAATTCAGTTCTCCATCATGCTTTCAAAAGGCCGATATTCTCAACTTTTATCATTGGATGCCCTAGTCTGTCCATTAACATCAAAATCAGCATGCCATTTGATAATACTATTTAAAATCACTAGAAGGTCAAGCTATATTTCTATGATTGTGGAACTCACTTCACATTTTTCAGCGTAATATTTTGTCCCATAAAATTTCAGTTAGTTCAACCTTTTTACACTGTGCTGCAATAGGGCAATAAATTCAGTAGGATTCTGCAGACATGCAGTGTTCCTTTCATATACCAGGATTGTAACTTAGATAAAAGCTTATTTTTTATCAAAATTAAACTTAAGGAGCAGTCTGAAGACCAATGGACATGCTTTCAGAGTTTGCAAGGTTCAATTCAAACAAATGCAATATTTGTTTGAAAATATAGGGTTAGTTCTCACACATACTTAAGTGGGCATGAATTTTGCCATTGACTTCAGTGGAGGCAATGTTGGAACCTTTTTATTTTTAAGTGCATTCCTCTATTATGCAGCTCCCTTTGCGTCTTCTAATATTTTGAGACACACACCTCGCCTTTTAAGAAAAATATCTGACTAGTCTAAGAATGACAGACTAATGACTCACGATTAATGATTAGTACTAACTGCTGTGCAATCTATGCATGAGGAATTCAAAAACAGTTTCCCAATGAAATAAATGGACATCTACAAGCTTATTGGATCCACAGTAAATTAATACTTTTGTCTAACTATATGTTCAGGTTTTTTTTTATTAATGTGACCCAAAGTTGTGACACTTCAGTGACAGTGAGAGCTATGCTCAGCACATTCACAGTAAGCAACTAAAAATGACCCTGCCTCTGAGATGAACTCATTTCTGAAATAGCTATTTAGGATGCCGCTCTCTTTTGGCACAATGCCAAACCCCAAAATGTCACCAAACCAAAATAATGTTAAAAAGCCTTCTTAACTAGAGGAGCACAATAACATTCCAACAGAAATGTATGTGTAAAATGAAGAACAGGGGAGGAAATTATAAACACTGAGGAAATATTTCTCTGTGTGTTTTCAGAGATGACATCTGCTGTGGCTGTGCTATTGGCCAAGAGACTCAAACATTCTTAGGGGCCAAAAAACACCGGCCTCAGCAGAGTGTAAGCGAAGCTGCATGATAGGCCACAGTCTCACAAACATTAACACATGCAAATGCCATTATGCATTCCTCATGTACATGAAGCCATTCAGGATTAGGGCTTAAGGGAGAAACTATCTTGTTCTTGTGCTGGAAAGGTTATTTTCAGTTTATAATAACCTTCTCAGCCTGCAACTTCTGCCAGACAGCTTTTCAACTTCATAAAGTTCCATTTAATATTGAATTGCTGTTGACACTAGGGCAATCGATACTTGTTCAGGCTTTATTACCCCTGGAGCACAGGTGATACTGCACATGGGTGTGGTTTCCCACTGTTGAACAGAAACAAAGGTACAAAACTAACAGTTAATTGTGGCCTACCTTTTGCATCTGGCTGGCACTATTACCTCTGGCCCCGAGAAGGACCATGCTCATGGCACCTGAAATACTCAGTGGAGAATAGATGATGTTTTCAGAGGGAAAATCTTTGTTCAGTACTTTGAAAAAGTCCAGGGAAAAGATTGCAATTGCTTCACTGACGGAGTTCATTGTAACAATGAAAAACTGCCTAGGGATAAAAATAAATCAAATCAAATCATCTGTCTCTTCTCAGCTTCTTACTGCATCAGAAGTTTTAATTGGCTTTTTTGCTAGTTATAAACACACAAGTTTAGCCTTAGGTGTGGAACTCCACCTAAGTAATATAGATGGGCATAATACTTGATACTTTGGGAAGAAGGGGGTTACAGGCTTTTAGGCCACGTCTACACTGCAAGTTTTTGCGGCAGAGAATATGCTCATGACGGACTTATTAGCATGAGTCACAATGTCATTAGCATATTTTCTGCAGATCCTTCTTGTGCAAGGGTTTTTTTGTGCGAAAAGAAGCAGTGTAGCCGCTTCTATTTTGCACAAAAAAAAAAAAAAAAAAAAAATTTATGCAAGATCCTTATGCTTCTCCTTATTCCTACTGACAAAGCAATCTGAACTCCAGTTTTGCACTCAAGAAATGTTCCTCTACTTCTGTGTCTTGTATACAGTACTGCAAGGAATAAAATCATCTACCTGCACAGTTTCTTGAAGCATCTCCCCATCTGACTTCACTGGGGTTACTCATGATTTACATCAGTATGATTTCAAAACCCAGCCTGCTGAGAGAGACTACTGGGTAGTCAGATTTCTGTTCGTATGTGATCAGGACCACATAGGCTCTCTTCTGTACCCAGATATATCAAGAGTAATTTCAGAGGACTTAATCCAGACATACACAGGTGTAAATGAGAGCCTACTTTGACCTCTCCTGTCTAGGTAACAATAAGTAGCAAATGATTTAATTAATATGTGGTAAGGTATCACTGAATCAGTTTATTTTGTTTCAAAATACATTTGTGAATATCTACTTATTGCGATGTATTTTGCAATTGGGATTGCCTCACAGGAAGATTATACTCTGATCCATCTCCACTAACTCTCCTTTGTATATATTAAAATGCCATTGGAGCAGGGAGTTGAATGTGTGCCCCCCCCAATCTGCGATGAGTTTATTTAATATGGAAGTGGACGATCTAGTGTCTTATCCCTTCCAAATTCTAATGCACTGTTCCTCTAAAACTGTTATACAAGATTACTTTTCATTATTGTCAGCCAGACTTTAGAAATAATTTTCCCACATTACTCAGCACTGATAAGATCCAAACAGGAGTGCTGTGTCTAGTTTTGGGCACCACACTTTAGAAAGGATGTTGATAAATTCCAAAAAAGTCCAGAGAAAACCAAAACCAACCAAACAAAAAAACCTTTGAAATTCTAGAACGGTGTTTCTCAACTTTTTAAAAAAAAAATAAACTACCCCTTATAAAAAAAATATAAGTACCCCAGTACTACAGTTTTTCAGACACAATTTTTTTCTACCATTGCAACACATTTGTTTAAATGACTTAATCGTAGCTGGATGAGCGATGACATTTTTGGGTGTAAAACGTACAAAAATAATAAAGCACTGTAAAACTTAAAACAAAAATTCAGTTTTCTCCAAATTTCAGTTCTGTTAACATACCCCCAGACTTCTCTTGAGTACCCCTAAAGGTACTCATACCACTCGTTGAGAAACATTGGTCTAGAAAACATGACCCATTTGAAAAAGCTGGGTTGTTTAGTCTGGGGAAAAGAAGACTGCGATGGGAGATGATCACAATCTTCAAACATGTAAGAGGTTGTTATAAAAAGGAAAGTGATAAATTGTTCTCCTTAGCCACAAAGGATATGACAGGAAGTAATGGGCTTAAATTGCAAAATTACAGCCGGGGAGATTTAGATTTAACATTAGGAAAGAACTTCCTAATGGCAAGGGAGACAAGATGGGCAAAGTATCCTTTATTATTGGACTAAATTCTGTTGGTGAGAGAGACAGGCTTTTGAGCCACACAGAGCTCACCTTCACGTTTGGGAAAGGTCTTTCAGACAGTATCAGAGGAAAATGTAAGGTGGTACAGAATAGGGGCTGCTATACCATTACTGGAAGTTTTTAAAAACAAGTGAGTCATACACACCTGTCAAAGATGATCTAGATCAGTGTTTCTCAACCTTTTTTATCAAGTTCCCCCTTTTTCAAAAAAATAAGTACCCCCTTTTTAAAGAAAAAAATTATAAGTACCCCCAGTACCTACAGTTTTCAGACAACACAATTTTTTTTCTACCATTACAACACATTTGTTTAATCAACTTAATTGTAGCTGGGCAGGTGATGAAATTTTTGGGTGTAAAAAGTACAAAAATAAAGTGCTGTAAAACATAAAACAAAAATTCAGTTTTCTCCAAATTTCAGTTGTGTTGACATACCCCCCAGACTGCTCTCGAGTACCCCAAGGGTACTTATACCACTGGTTGAGAAACACTGATCTAGATAATACTTAGTCCTGCCTCAGTGCAGGAAACTGGACCTGTCATGTCCCTTTGAGCCCTTTATTCTTATGATTATATGATTATCTTTATTTAAATAGTTTTTTATCTCAGACTCTTTTAAAAATATGCAGATTTACTGGCATCTGAGATTAGTGGTGTCAACACTGCAACATTTTATATAAACTCTGCAAGCCAAATTTTGCTCTTATACTGAAATAAATGTCTAATAACGTACCTTAAACCAACAGCCTCTGTGAGGACCTGCCCTTCAGAAAGTCTGGCTTGTTTATTTAGATACTTAAATCTTGGTTTAAGTGATTAACTTCAGACATGCATGTCTGACAATTTTGCCAAAGTAATTTGCTCACAGTTACTTGGAAATTTAGTTGCAGAAACAGGAATAGACTGCTGAGTCCCAGCATAGCATTGTTTTAGCACGCAGTCCTCTGAGGATGTAAAATTCTGGACAGCTGGACTAATCTGTACAATGCTAAAATGAATTATGTATAGCGAAAGGGCTTACAAAACTTCCCTTCACCAATTATAACAGTAAATAAAATGTTGGAAGATGTTGTAATATATATATATATATATTACATATGCAAAATTGTTATTTATTAGGTCCAAACAGTTGCTTAAAGGTCACTATCATATTCATTAGAATGCAATCGACAGACTAACTTCTGTCATCCATAAAATGCTAATTGTCATTCTCATATAATGTGTGTGGTTTCCAGGAAATATAAGAAATTAAGCATCAGATTCAAACCTTCCCCCCACCTTTGCTGTATAGGTGTTCTGATCCTCCAATACAAACCCGCCCTAAATCTGATGGATTTGATCCCTTTGGAATCCTTCACAGAAGGATCCTCCATAGCATGACAATAGACAAGAGTAATGAACAGAATGTGGCTAGAGAAAAGGGAACGTGCATAACTTTTTTCACATATGAAGGTACATTGAATTTGTTTTTGATTGCTGGGGTAGTAGTTCTTGATTTTTGCTTTTGTGGGACAAAGAAGGACCCTTTCTCAATGTACTGATTTCTTTTACACTTCCTTACTACCCTAATATCTGTTATAGGAAGCACAGGGCTGCCAAAAACCCATACGTTTGTGGAATTACATGTGTTTGACCACATATGTACTGTGTGTCACCTGTTAATTGTAACTGGATTTATTAATTATTTTAAAAATCCTGTTATAGTCTTCTATCCTCCCTATGTATCGCTGTAAAACAGTAGTTTCCTGCTTACTTTGGTTTGCAGTAATGTGAATTTCCTAGTTTAATATTCTCCTCTGCCAATGAGTTGCCAAATGGCCCTACATCAATTTTCATTTCCTGTTAACATGTTGTGCATTAATATGGATTTCAGTACTATCATGAAAAAAATCCTTAATTTGTTACAATTTGTGTAAATTCCCATTGAAGTTGGTGAAAGTTTTGGCCAGATTAAGGATTAAGAAAATACTAGGGGTCAGATTCAAATATGTACTGCAGCTGAGAAGTGCCTTATTCTTTTAGTAGTCCAATTGATTTGAAAGACCCTTAAGGCTGTTGAATAGGACTTTCTCCTGGACTAGTTCTATTCATTCCAGTGAGGCTACTCAAACAGTGAGTTGCTACTTACTCATGATCAGAATTTAATACCCTGAGGGATTTGAGGTGAAATCCTGGCTCAGTTGAAATCAACCACACAACTTCATCTGAATTCAGTGGCAAGTTACCTTTCCTCAGAAACTGGAAAATGTAACTTTGATTCCAGACTCCCTTAGAATATCTGACTTAGTTTCTGCTGTAAATTGATCCCTGGGTACTTCTATAACATGCAAATTATGTGTTTTTTATTAATTAAATATTGATTTTAATAGGATTTAGGCACGTAACCTGGTTAGGTGTTTTTGAAAATCCCAGTACACAACAATATGCATCTTGAGGTGCCTAAATATCTTTGATATTCTAGCTCTCAGACCTTAACCTCTTAGGTTTTCCTGACTGTCAACATGGTTCATTAAGAAGTATCCAGACACATGTTAAGAACAGTAAGCCATGTATTCTTTTGTTATGACAAGAGTAACAAGAAAGTGGCAAACAAAAAATCTTTTTTCTTTCCCTTCAGGGTAATAACCAGTTAGTCATTGGTCCACGAATTAGTTGTGTTGTGTCATCTGACTGAAAGAATGACCACCTTCGGAAATTTATCTAATTCAGGATTCTGAAAAATTGGATTATAATCTAGTTAATTTTTTTCTTTTGATTCTTCTTGCACCTCAACCACATCTTTTCTTCAGACTCAGCAAATACAGATATTTGCACTCTGTTTTCTAAAAACAGACATCTAAACTGCATGACATGGATGTTATTATTTAATCTGCCCAAGCTCAGTCTGAATTAGAGTCTTCAAAGAGAGCTAATTGTGGCTATACAAATATTACATTACCTCAGATTCCTGTGAGAGAGAATTTATTTGTTTTATGGATGTGCTTGCTAGGCAATCAATATGTTTACACATATGGAACAATTGTGCTTTCTTCTGCCCTACATCATCTTAAAAACTTGCTAGAATATTTACCCAACATTGCTAGAGTCCTAAACTCACGGAATTTTTTATTTTCTTCATTTAAGTCATTGCTCTGAGGGTGGTACTGGGGTTGAGGGGTTTAGTATGCAGCAGTTCAGTTCCACAGGGGAGAGAGGCTCAGACCTCTCTCACCGCAGCAGCTTGGGGTTAGTGAGAAGCATCTCTCCATGACTGCTGCAGCTCCAGTGGGTACAGCCGGGGTGGGCATGTCACTTGTCTGAGGAAGATCTAGGTTTCTCTGCCTCAAACCCTGCTCCCTCCCCCACACAACCAAACCCTTATCTTTCTTTAAGGTAAGATAAGAGGAAGCTGCTTACCGAATTTGGTGATCCTAGCACTTACCGTTTAGGAGAAATTCTTGAATAAACAGACAGATGAAAACGCAGACTCACTGGCTCGCAGACAAACTCTCAAATATATAGTAGACATATTTCACCATTTATGCTTACACTTCTCACTAGTTTCCAGAATTTTCTCTTGTAATGCTTGCCTTGATTGTTGACATACCATCATTTGTTTGGCAATAAATATGTTTAGAAATAAGATTGCAACTCCTTTTACCTTTTAGCCTACATTGTCCACCTATAGCATCTAAGCCTCTTCTCCCACCAATTTCCATAACTTTTTGTTGTAAAGTTTGACCTGACTATTGACCCATTTAAGTATTTTAATCAGAAATCTCCAAGAATTAGAAGATAAATATAATGATCTTAGACGATCTGGTATTTTAGACATAGGATAAGCAAAAATGCCAGAAAGTGGCCTATTGTAAGAATGGCTGGTGGTGATATCCATTGCAGTTCTCTTGTTGAAAATCTCTACAGCTAGTGTTTAACTTACACCACAACCTACAAATGTCTGTCTTTCTGTGGGACTCGTGTACTGCGTGGTCTGATTCTCCACTGCATTATTCCAGTTTTAAACCAGTGTAACTCCGTACATTTCTGCAGAGGTATACCAGCATCAAACTGGAGTAATGGCCTTGTGTCTCCACCATCTTCATTTAAAAAACTGGGCATACAGACATGGCCATGTATTTTGAAAATCCAAAGCTATTAGCTGTATGATGGAGCACTTTTCCAGACAGTGTGTCTGTGCAGACACAAACCATGAATGGGATTGCTTTGATTACATTTTAGCAAGCAACTTTTGTTTATTTTATCCAACAGGACAGCATTTAATGGGAATGGGTTTGTGCAGTCATAGTGAGTATAATAAAATAAATAAACCTCTGAATAATGTTATTTATTGTTTGTTCTTCTATTCAGGAAGTAGAGGCAAGAAGTGTGTGCTGTTTTTAAGACTTGAAGATCATTCAGACGATTTTCAGTATACCTGGAGGTTCACTAGTGTAGCCAGAATACACCGAATTCAAGGAATTGGGAGCATCCCCAGAAAAGGTAGGAAAATGCTCCCAAATCTCTGTGCATCTATTATTTTATTCCACTGTAACTGATTTATGAAGATATGGGTTATGCATAAAGATACTGCATAATGGAAGCTTATGCCCTAATAAATCTGTTCGTTTCCAAGGTGCACAGGTCTCCTTGCTCATTCTGCATACTAGTTACAGACAAATACTTAGGGCCTGATTATATACAGGTTACACCTTCCTGCTCCAGTACCCTTGAGAGCTGACTAGAGATAGAATAGTATAATCGATTAACTGATTAATCAATAAGCAAAAGCATTTAGTTTAATGCTATAGACTTACATGCATTTGCCCTCACCCCTGCCACCAGTAAATTTTTGTAGCAGGCTGGCCAGCAGTCCTGCTCAGTTCTGGCTCATGCTGGGGCCGGGACCTACCCCCGCTGTGGCTCTGCATTTAAAGTGTATTAGGAGCTGGGCAGGCAAGCAGGCTGGCTCAGTTCTGGCTTGCGCCGGGTCTGGGAGTTCAGCGTCCCCGTCCCCCTCATCCTTTACACCATCCCTCTGAGGGAGGCAACAACGTGAGGTGGAAGGAAGCCACTCACTGAGGTGAGCTGGTTTTTAAACTGGCTCCCCTCGCGGACCAGACACCACTTGGCACCCTGCGCTGATGCCTCTGATACAGAGGCAGCAGCACAGTGTAGCAGGCAGCTCCTTAGGAGTGGCACCGGATTGTACTGGCTGCCGGCCTCACCCCCAGAGACTGTAGAATAGTCAAGTAACCGATAAGAATTCATGAGATTAATCGACTATTAACCGATAATTAACATCCCTAGTCCTGACCCATCCCGGATGAAGGATTTTGCTGGATCAGGGGTGGTCATTTCCAGGCCCCCTGCCATTGACCCCATTAGTCCTGGCCTGACCACTGCCCTCCTAGGTGGCTCCCTCCTTTCACTGGCCCCACTGTCCTGTCAGCCCCCACCTACCAGGCAGCCCCGCCCCTTCTGGTCACCAGACTCCCACTGCCATGTCAAGCAATCCCGCCATCTGTGCACACACCAGGCTCCTGGCTGTGCAGCCCCACTGCCTCTGCATGCCAGGTTCCTGCAGCCTGTCTGCTAGGCTCCTGCAGGGAAGTCCCGCTGCCCCGCCAGGTTGCAGGGTTCCCATTGGGACACTCTGGTCTGGCAAAATCCATGGTCCTGCTGGATGTGACCTGACCAGAGTGTTTCGGTTAAGAGAGTTTCAACCTGTAGTTTGCACCAGTGGCATTCTATTGATGTCAGTGAAATTACTCCATATTAAAACTAAAGCAAGGCAGGGGAGAATGAATCCTTTGCATGGTACTGGTTGAAAATAGAATTATTACAAAGCAGATGGTTGTAAGCAAAAGCACTTTATTTCTTTTCTATTTTACACAATTGTTTCTTATCCAGCACTTGCCCATTGGTATGCTACATGCAGAGGAACCAGAATTCTAGCAAGCAGTCCAAAAAAATAGCCAGTAGGAATGTAAAGATTACAAACAACATTTATATTCCAGTGGTTTTATTGCTTTTCTAGCCATAAGTAAGTTAAGTCAGTATAAGTCATGAGACTGTAATCCACATTCTCATCTGGTACAATTACCTACCTCCACTAACTTCAATGGGGGTGATCCAATCTGCACCTTCTGAAGATCTGGGCCTTTTTACTCCTTATGTGTCTATGCAGGTAATTGTTTTATTCCTGAGACATATTTGTCTATATCAGACTGGATCTTCTGCTTTGTACTTGTACAAGAAACAGTACAATTGGTGTAATTGGAAAAAGCAACCAGGGCATGTCTACTGAACAGTTGAAAATCATAGCCCAAAATTATCAATATCAAGTTCTTTAATTACCGAGAACTTTGCTCTTCTGTTTATGTGATTTGCAATATTTGTTGTTTCCCAACCTCCAAAGATTAGCCAAGAGTACAGGAAAGTGAAGAAAAATTACCCAAGCTATTTAGACATCCAAGGCAATGTTTCTGCTGCTTACAGATCCTGTTTAGCAACAAAAATGTGAGTATTTACGGAGAGCAGAATCTGCCAAAGAAGAGGATGGTCTTTGTTTCATTGTGCCTGATGAAGAAGAGAAAAGAGTGGTCTGCTTCAAACTGCTTGGCAGAAATGAGACATTGTGACGTCACAGTAGCGGCAGTAGCTGCTGCAGCCTCGGTGCCTTCTTCATTGATCTCCACAAAGCACTTGTGAAAGACATTTGACTAAACCAGATCATTTTTCTCAGACATTCCCCCCAAATCAGCTCGGCCCTCACTGAAAGCATCTCGCATCCCCATGCTGCTCAGAGTGGAGTTGAGGTCATATCTCTCTTCCATTTTGATCCTGGGCAGATTCACCTCCACTTCAGTTTTCTTCATTGCTTCTGAGCTGGTCCATTTGGATAATGTCTCGTACGTCAAGCCTCGTTCTAGCTACAGGTATTTAAAAATGAGAGGATCAAAAATGACACTGTGAGAGTTAAACTTCTTTACCCTGGATGTCCTTTATAATCCTAAATTGAGAAACTATGGATCGGGGTTAAAAAATAGAGCGAAGATCACTGAAAAGTTTCTAGACCATTTACAGGTGTTTTCTTCAGCAGTAAAGCAGAGTACATTCTTACAGCATTAGTTTGAACAGCCTTAAAAGCCAGACAGGATTAAAATGATCATCTAGTCTGATTTACTGCACACCGGCCTGCTGACATGGGGGCTGCAGGGGGCAGGTGCCCTGGGGCCCCTCAATTCAAAAGGATCTGGGGCCCCCCAGCCTCTGCGACCGCTACCAGAGCAGCGATGCTAGCCATAGTTCTGGGTCTTTTAAATTGTCAATGGAGCACTGCATGGCATGCATGAGAGCTGGTAGAGGGTCTCGGGTTGGGGTACAGCACACCATGCTCTGTGTAGCATGGAGAGTCTTGCCCTTTCCATGAGATGGCGCCAACGTCCCACCTTCAGTTTGGAGAGGGGCCTAGCACCTGTGAAAGCACCCTGGCTTGCACATTGCAATAGGCCCATCATCTGGGGCAGATTTACTGAAGTCAGCAGTTCTTGATTTCACAGTATCAAGTTACAGAGAATCCACCATTTACTCTACTTTAAAATAGCCAGTGACTCATGCCCTCTGCTGCAGAGGAAGGTATTGTATAGCTGAATTACCAACACTTCCCCTGCTTACTAGTTTCTTAGAAGACATTTAGAGGTAAAACTTAAAAAACAGTGAATAGTAAAGCAGCACCTTAAAGACTAACAAAACATTTGGATGGTATCTTTAAGGTGCTACTAGACTAGTCATTATTTTTTAAGTTTTTCCAGTTACATACTAACTCGGCTACCTCTCTGAAGATTTAGGGGTAAATTTGAGCTAAATAACAGCACAGAACCCTGACAGCCAGGACTGGTGGCTGTAAACAAACTTTATGGAGTTGCCGGAAACTTGGCCACATGCATGATAAGTGGACATACAGATAACTATGGATGATGCCAGACCAGACAGAGCTGGACTAGAGAGGTTCAATCTGTAATTTAAAATTAATGTTAAATTTTCTTGCCTAACTTACTTACAACTAGATAGGTTACTAAAAAGTGAAACTTCATAGAACCAATTTCATGTTCATTATTTATGCTGATATTTCAAGGCAGGGGAGAATGAATCCTTTGCATGGTACTGGTTGAAAATAGAATTATTACAAAGCAGATGGTTGTAAGCAAAAGCACTTTATTTCTTTTCTATTTTACACAATTGTTTCTTATCCAGCACTTGCCCATTGGTATGCTACATGCAGAGGAACCAGAATTCTAGCAAGCAGTCCAAAAAAATAGCCAGTAGGAATGTAAAGATTACAAACAACATTTATATTCCAGTGGTTTTATTGCTTTTCTAGCCATAAGTAAGTTAAGTCAGTATAAGTCATGAGACTGTAATCCACATTCTCATCTGGTACAATTACCTACCTCCACTAACTTCAATGGGGGTGATCCAATCTGCACCTTCTGAAGATCTGGGCCTTTTTACTCCTTATGTGTCTATGCAGGTAATTGTTTTATTCCTGAGACATATTTG